AAGATGACTCCTTTTCTGTTTAGGTGGATCAGATCAGAGGTAACAAGGTGTTAAACGGCCACCTATAGAGCAGAGCAAGCTCTGTCTGCTCTGCAGAAACAGAGTGGACACAAACATGCCACCCGCATGCTCTGTTCCGAATATCATGGGATCAGCTCACAGATCCCCTGCTGATTGCAATGGAAAATGCCCCAAGGGGCATAAAGATCATGTCATCAGTCTGCTGCAGGGAGGAGGAAGCATTTACACAGCCTTCTCTCCCACTGTGATCAAATTACTACATTATATTTTTGCAGCAAATCACAATCTTTAGCTGTAGCAGGAACTGATCTGTGTCAAACATTTGTTAACACAACTGAGACCTGCAAAACAGGATTTCCGTGGTGGTATCCAAAGGGCGCCTATGTTTTTTGGGCTCTTCATTCACTGTGTTTCGTTTGACAGCTGGATAGAAGTGAGCCATGACCAGGTCAATGTGACAGCGAGATGGGCCCCAGCTACCAACAACCCACATCTGGTATAAATGTGCAACTAAGTAGCAAAGTCCTTTGGTGCATTTGCAAAGTCTAAGAATAGGTATGGCCGCCCTATTGGTGACATCTCTGATCAAGCATGCTGACCCTGGATAATGCCTGATCAAAGATGGCTCTGTTCTGACTCTGATTTTTGGAGAACAAATTGAATTGTTAGGGGCAGTAGTGTGAGAGGTAATAAATATTTGTAAATGTTATTACTATAACTTGGCATGAATGTACTTAAAATAGAAAACAAAATAGATCTGATGTTAGGTCCACTTTAATACAGTCTTTACTGATTCTATTTAGACTTTTCAGCTGTCCATAGCAATAGCAGCCAATGTTATTATTCCATATATTAAAGATAAAATATGATGAAGCTTTTCTTAAAAAAAAAAAAAAAACAACTAACTAACTTCTGTTTTTGGCTGTTACATTTAAGTAATCCTCTCCCCCGTTTCTTACAATGATGGTACTTGGCTCCTGATCCAGCATCACTGTAGCTTTCTATGTTTGGACCATGAGAAGGCCTCATATAGCACATAATTAGTGGCTAGTGGTTTCAGACCCAAGGTAACTGTACGTCTGTGCTGAATACTGCTGACAATCCTGTGTATGTATTCCCCTATGAATACGTACACATGAGCTATGCAGTGACAGGCTCTTCTCCCCCTGCTGTGTTAAATGACAATTGCCGTCACCTCCCCCAGGGCTGCCAATAAGGGGGTACCACTGGTTCTCCTGTATGGGACCAGGGCACACAGGGGGCCAAGACAGCAGGGGAAATCGGATGTAGGCAGGACAGGGAGGATGATCAGTGTGGCGGGAGGAGGTTGGATTACAGCAGTGTTTCTCAACTCCAGTCCTCATGGACCCCCAACAGGTCATGTTTTCAGGATTTCCCTCAGATGAAACAGCTGTGGTAATTACTAAGGCAGTGAAACTGATCAAATCACCTGTGCAAAATAATGGAAATCCTGAAAACATGACCTGTTGGGGGGTCCATGAGGACTGGAGTTGAGAAACACTGGATTACAGGAACGATGCCCTGTGTAGCTCTCTGCAGCAGCTGAAATCTGGTTTCGTCCCCCCAGCTTTTAGCTGCTACAGGGAGAGACACACAGGGCATCATTCCTGTAATGCTCGCTGGCTGTTGTGGGCACACAAGGAGGTGTTCATGATGGCGAGTGGGGGAAGGGATGGAAAATTATATCTTTTACTGACCCCCTTCGTGAATGAACACAGTGAGTGACGTCTTACTGTGCTCATTCATAACTGAATCATAGTAAACTGCATTTACTATGGTTCAGTTTATAAATGAACAGGAGCCTCTGTCTCCTGTTCATTCATCTGCAGTGCAGCTGAGGCTGCAGAGAAAGAAATTGAAGAATCTGTATCCTCAATTCTTTTCTCTCTCTTAAAGGTGAGATGTCAGGCATCTGTTTAGGCCCCTGATATTTCACCCAAGCCCCTCCATCAACATTGTAAAGAGTAATTTAAACAATGTAAAAAATTATTTAAAAATTTAAAGAAAAACAAATTATAAAAAATAATAAAAAAAATTGTAAAAAATATTTATAAAAATTAAGGACTCGTTCACATAGGTTCTATGGCCCATACAGTATGAATGAGTGGCTTGTTTGTGTGGCTGGAGCCACCAGTTACTTTATGAGGATGCAGTGGCTCAATAAACACAGTCACAGGTCCTAATTTGATAGGTGTGGGTGAGTGGCCCCAAATACACACTGTCAGGGGCCATACGCATGCCTGTCATATTAGGACCTGTGGCTGTGTTCATGCAGCTGCTGGGTCCCCAAAGTGTAACATAGGTTGCCTGCACACAACATTAGCCACATAAAAAAACACTGATTTAAACTGTACAGGCCACTGCACCTATGTTGAGGGAAGCGGTCAGGGGGGCTAACCATCTGGTTTTACCACCCCCTGCAGCTCGTGTGAGCTGCAGGGGGTGGTAATTGGGCCTCACAGTAATTTTAGTGGTTGAACTTGGTATTTTGGACCTTTTGGGTCCAGAAACAATTTATTTCTGCTAATGAGGCAAAATTTCTTCCTAGCAACTTGGGGTCGGGGTGGAGGGCTGTATTTTCTTCATTTGGACAAAACTTGCTAGAGCTGTGAAAGTGTTGACGTTAAAATGCATCTGTTCATTTCTTCAGTCGGCCAGAGATGGATTGAAATTTTCAGCTTTATAGATGAGTATGTTTAATTTGTTGTTCAGCCAGCAGGCTGAAAATACACAGGCAGATTCCTCCATCCACACAAGCAAGGTCAATCGAGGAATTCCCTGCACCGCTGGGACGTTGTATTCTGACAGACTCAGCACTGTCAGAATACATTTTTCAGCAACTGCAGCTAATTGATCAACAAGTGTTTTATTTCTGTTGAACTGAAAAGCTAACAATCGAATCAATCAATCTTCTGCCGAACAGGGACAGCTACACACTGATCAAAATTCGTCCAATTCTTTCTGAACTGGACAAATTTCGATCTGTCTATGGCCAGCTTTGGATAAGGAAACCTTGAGCTATGCGGATTAAAGTGGTTGTAAATCCTTGCATATACCCAATGAAGTGACTGGCCCCAGGTGATACACAGAGATGAAACAAACCCTCCTGCAAACATTGTACCTGTTTATCTACAGCTTCTCTTCTCTACATCCAATCAAAGTGCTAAGTTTATAAAACGTGTCTGATTGTTCAGAAAAAGGGGAGGGAGAGCTGAAATTACACTCTGCAAAGCTCAATGAGGGGAGTTCTGAGAGCTGATTGGAGGGAAGGGACATAACCCCTTCACACAGTTCACAGGAACAGAGCTGAGGCTGTCAATCTGCTGGAGATCCCTTCCCTGTCACCATTTTTCTCTTGGTGTCAGGAAAACTTCCATAAGTGACTCATGCTGATTGCAGAGGAATGAGGTAGCACACAGAAATGACACTTTGTGCTGTAAATTGAGACAAGTACACACAATAGGGGAATATGCTTTGTTCACATTTCATGTCTGATGCTCACAACAACTATAAAGTGGTTCAGTTAGATTTCTTTTTTGTTTGTTTTTTTTAATTGTAGCTTTATCATACTTTATACACTTACAATCAGGGCTGCAGATAGGGGGGAGCACCAGTCCTCCTTTAGGGAACTCAGGTCAACAGGGGGGGCTGGGACAGCAGGGGGAATTGGTGCGGTGGGGTGCATGCCAATTACAGAAGGATTCCTTGTGCCGCTCTCCGCAGCAGCTGAAGCCAGTTTCTCTCCCCATCACCAGCTTTCAGTTGGTGCTGGGAGAGACAAAGACACAGGACATCCTTCTGCAACTGGTTCCCGCCACACCGATCCCCTTCCTGTTCTGTCTGCTTCTGATTTCCCCTGTGTACCTCCTGTCACTGTTCCAGGCCCCGCCCACCTTCCCACAATGTTGCCAACATCCCTTGTACCTGCCGTTAGCTGTGGTTACAGTGGATGTTTCAGGATGGAGAGCAGAGGTGGGGGCAGATAAATATGTAATTTACTGGCCTCTTCCATTTTTGAGTGGACAAAGTGAGTGATCGGTACTGATCACTGCTGTGACCATAGTTAATTGAAGTATAGTAAACTGTGTTTGCTATGCTTCAGTTCATGAATGAACAGGAGCCTCTTTCTCCTGCTCATTTATTTTCAATGCTGAGAAATTATTCGGATAATCTGTGTCTTCAGTTCTTTTCTCTGTCTCAAAGATGAGATATTGAGACCCTTGATATCTCACCAAAGCCCCCTCACAGTAAACAAAAAATAGTAATTTAAAAATGTAAAAAAAATTTTTAAAAATTGTAGAAAAAAAAAATAAAAATCAAGGGCTCATTCAAACAGGTTTCTGGCCCATACAATGTGAATGAGCTGTTTGTGCTGGAGCCATCTGTTACTCCACTAGGATGTAGTGGCTGTATGAAACACAGCTGCAGGTCCTAATTTGATAGCTATGCAGGTGTGAGTGAGTGAGTGGCCCCTGAATGCACACTGTCAAGGTTTGGGGTCCATACACCCACATATCTGTCAAAGGAGGACTTGAGGCTGTGTTCATGCGGCTACTGTATCCCTATGACGTAAAATAGGCTGCTTGCACACCATAGCCACATTTAAAAAAAAACACTGATTCACACTGTACAGGCCACAGCAACCATGTGAATGAGCCCCAAAACCTCATTTACACACAGAGCTTTGTTTATTTACGCAATACAGTTTTATATTTTACATTTAGGAGGAATTTTGTAAGTTATGTTGTTTGTTTCTGCTAATCGTGATGTTAGTACATGTTCAGCGAAAGTATCATTTTGGGGAGAGGGGGCCCTGTCAGGTAGGCCCTGTGATTTCTAACAGCAGTCCTGCTCACAATAGTACGTAGTATAGAAGTGCAGTTTTAGAATTTATTTAAAACTTTTCTTATATTTTTTTAGACACTAAAAAAGTATAACTTGTTTTCTTTTACTTTCAGGATTGTTATGCCATTTGTGAAGACCTGTCTAATGGTGTTACCATCTGTGCAAGCGATATGGAGAGGTGTTACAGACAGCCTGATAGCCCCTTTTTTTGCAAGTATGGGGCGGTGTTTTTCATCTGTTAGCATGCGAGTAGACAACAGTTAGGCTTTTCTGTACAGTAAATGTCATGAATATGCCAAATGTCAATTAAAATACTGCTTAGTACTTCACTAGCCTGCTGAATATGTACTGTTCATGAAATATGGCCCTAACACTTCTATGTGTACATTCCAGTTCTACTTCAGATCCCACTAGAAATATAGGTGCAAGTCTGTCTCACTACCTCCTGATGTTGGGAACATTTACTGCTTGTGAGGTGATATACAAGATCTTTATAAAAAAGCAGAAAGCTAGGACTCCGCACTCAGACATTTCTTAAAAGTTTGCTAATAGATATTTGATTAAAGATCATTAGAGAAGAACTGTGCCCAAGTGGTTTTCTACCGGAGTTTTAGATGGTTGATTTGGTGACCATAATTGGAATTTACCATCACAGTCTAGACTTGTCCTTAAGGATCTGTGGGCCATCAGTACACTTAATGGCCGGGGAAGATTATTACTGTTCTTTTTTAGGTATTTGCTGTTCAAGAAATTAATATTTTAGTATATAAAATGCAAAAAAAATATGTTATGATTATTTAAGGCCTTTGAACCAGAGCTCCCTAACCTTCATCATATTGTGCATCACTTTCAGACGTAGTCATTTGCAGTAAATCATTAGGCGTTATTTACTAAAACTGGAGAGTACAAAATCTGGTGCAGTTCTGCATAGAAACCAATCAACTTTCAGGTTTTATTGCCAAAGCTTAATTGAACAAGCTGAAGTTAGAAGCTGATTGGCTACCATGCACAGCTGCACCAGATTCTGAGTACACCAATCTTAGGAAATCTCCCCATTGAGTTAACAACAAGATTGCTCAAACTACCTTTATTAATCACCCTACAAGTAAAACTGTATACATAAAGCAATCCCTGTTTGGCCTTAGGCTTCTGGAAGGTTTGTAATACAATAGGCATTCATATGGGAACCGAGCCTATGCTGAGAGGCTGCCCTCAGTTATATCACATACACCTGAAACCCACATATGGCTCCTGATTCAATGATTAAGAGCCATTACCAAAGCCAAAATGATACCTAGGTGAACTTGCCAGTGACAACATCATATATTTATCAATGTGATTTTCCCAAAGTCTCTAAGAAAACGGGACTAAAAAAATTGCATTATATGGATCCACCAAGGCTACACTGATTGTTTTGTGTATAGGCCAATGCTATTAGTTGACCAGAATATATATGATTGGTTAGAGATAAATATTGGGATGTCTGTCTCTCAAATTAGTCCCATATTCTGCCAGTAATGACTTGGACAGACTGCATTTTGGAACACTGACCCACATGTAGACCACATGTTCTGACTTAACTTGCTTCTTTCTAGCTTTGGGTCAGTGACGCATTAGAAGACCAGCAATAGGGCCTGCAGGTTTCCTTTAACAAATATGACAAAGTGAGGTTTTGGGATAGTGATCCTAAACTACATTACATTTAAATTAGCTGTCACTGGATGTGCATTATTTATAAAGCTAGTTACAGATCTAAATAAAGGATAACTTCACCTTCAGGAACATGCAACATGTTCCCGCTCCTGCTGCTGCTTGGGGATCTGAGCACCTGGTGTGATAGCAGTACGGGGAGAAAGTTCCCTGTACCAGATGTCACTTTTTGAAGTGACAGGTCTCAACCCACATGGCTGTCATTCATTCACAGAGTTCTGTGAATGAATGACCTTCAGGTGCCGACATTCATTGCGGCTGTCAGCTTGTAGTTCTCAATTAACTACCACGGCACTGTTGAGCGTACGATGTACGGGCAGACGATTACACTGACAGTCTGCAGGAGTCATGCATGGATCTGCAATGCGTTCCAGGCTCCAAAAAAAAAAAAATTAAAATGCACATTTTTTTTTACCTGCAAAAAAATGCGCATTCATTATTTTTTTTTTTAAAGGTGAACTTATCCTTCAAGTTAGCATTTTGGTATACATGTCTTTAAGGACACAAAAGAAAGCAGAAGTTACAAATGTATGAGACAATAGTTCTACCACTTTCTGCAACTTTACCTTAGCAAGATCATGGAATCACTTAATTCTTATGTATGCTTTGCTTGGTCAAGCAAGAACACAGTTTCTTCAGACATTAATAAAACACATTTTTTTGTATATTAACTGAATGCACTGAATGTTATGCTTGTACATTTTAAATAAATTTATTGAAGTATTTTGTTTATATCATTTGAGTGTTTAATTATCGTGTTTTTTTTCTGCCCATATTTTTGATTTGTCAGAAATTCATTAAGCTGTCCACAATTTAAATTCAAAAAGGTTCTTTGGGCTGTATGTATGATAAACTGGCTGAAAAGAGGTTTATAGATGTGTGGCCAGGTTTACAATCTGCTTAAATTGTGACGAAAGTCAAAGTTTTTTTTTTTTTTTATTAAAATAACAAGCATGTTATAAATTCCTGCTCTGTGTACTGGTATTGCACAGAGTGGCCTTGAACCTCCTATTATGTGTTTGCCCTCATAGCAAGCACTTCTTATAAGGACAGACATTGCAGATGCACTCCTGACCTTGGCTATGTGTGTATATAGACACATGTAGCGTGGCTAGGCCACGCCCCCCCCCCCCCACTCTTTCCTCACTGGATTTGGTTGAAAGCAGCAGGAGCCAATGGCTTTAACTGCTGCCACTGAGTCCTGTGAAAAGAGAGAGTCTCAGGCACGGTGCTGCATCAAGATTGGGATCAGGTAAGTTTATAGGGGGGCTGGGGGGGCTAATCATAGAGTTTTTACATGAATTCAGTGCATGCAGATTGTAAGCTCTAACAAGCAGGGCCCTGTTTCCTCTTGTACCAAATTGTACTTTAACTGTAATGTCTGCCTTCATTTTGTAAAGCGCTGCCCAGACTGTTGGCTATATATATATATATATATATATATATATATATTATATATATATATGTATAATAATATAATATATATCCTGTATAATAATAATAATAAGGTAAAAAACAAAAACCTTTAGCTTTTGGAACCACTTTAACTCTAATGAAAAATATTTCAGCTCACCAAATCATTGTTTCATACAACTTAAAGGATATGTTCACCTTTGGGAACATATTACATGTTCCACCCATTTTTAGGGTGTAACATGTTCCCATATCTGCAGCCACCGCGCCCCCTCCCTCTGTCAGATAGTACGGGAGAAGTCTCCCCTGTACTATCTGTCAAATTTGAAAACAGCGTGGCCATGTGGGGCTCCGCCCACACAGCCACATCACTCATTCATGGATTTCCATGAATTAACTGCAAGTCCCGACAGCCTTAGCGGCTGTGGGCTTGTAATTTTCAATGAACTACCACAGCACTGTGTAGTGCCGTGGCAGTTCATTGAAGCTTCCTGTCAGTATATCTGCTTGCTCATACATCCCGTATGGCAAGCAGATATTCTGACAGGTCTGCAGGAGAACTTCATGGCATCAGCAATCTACTGATTGCTGGTGCAATGCTTTCCAGGCTCCTGTAGACAAAAATAATAAATGCACATTTTGTTACCTGCAAAAAAATGTACATTTTATTATTTTTGTCTAAAGGTGAATTTATCCTTTAATCCACTTGTTATGATGGATTCTCTTCTACACACCCATAAAGAATTCTATACAAATACATTTAGTAGACCATATAATAATGTAACATGTGGCCAGCTTTACCATTATTACAAATAGATCAGAAACAGATTTGACCATACTATGACCGATGTGGTCACTTTATGACTGAATCCACCATCTCAGTTGAGTTTATTGCTGTCACTATGTGATCGTTTATTAAAACCTTTGGACCCATATTGGTGATCCTTGGTGTGCTGGTGACATTTTTTCCTTGCTGATTTTGTTCGGTTCCAGCCAACGGTCGCTGCAGCACCCAATTATACACACAGCCATTTTTAACGCAGGAATGTGTGCGTTTGGAGTGTACACTTGCATTGCTGTCACTCGTTTCACATTTTTATTGTAATTAACTAAATTAAAAATGGTGGAGGTTTTAACACATTTGCCTGGAGTTGTTTTTAACATTTGTCTTTAGTGCCATAGAAACAGATCTAAACAGTTTGTGTAAAATATTTGTGTAAATACCTGTGACCAATATGGGTAGAACAGACAGTGTCACATTGTTACAGTCTGTCAAACCTTTCATATTTTGATGTTTGGTGTTTCATGAAAAAGAATACCTACAGCAAGCACGGACTGATTCTGCCAGAGTCAGAAAAACAGATCATGCACAAAACATGTTACATCTTGGTAGCTGGTTTAAAACAATCTTAGAGACTTAACTACACAAATTGTAAGACTTGGAGGGTAATAAAGGTCAACCACAATAAGCAGATATGAGACTGTTTTTTTCTTCTGCCTATTTTTGTTTGAGGGTCAATCCATTGTTAAGACTCAATAGCTACTACTACAATGTTCCTCGATTTATCAGCCTCTTTTCAATGAAGCTTCATAAGACTTATACTCCTATGATAATATGTGCCAGATTATACATTTTGAATCATGTGTTGGTTTCTGAATATGGGCTGGGCAAGGAGAAAACAGTTAGGCCAGGTCAGTACCAAGCAAGTGCAGTATCAAAGGGGTCAAGCGAAGCATAAACAAGTACAAGCCAGAGGTCAACACTAATTAAGTAAGTATGGTATGATACAAAGTGTTACAAAGGACACCAATATTTAATTTTCTTTCAGTCAACCCATGGTTGAAGGAAAAAAGCTACTTGATTCCACTATCAACACAGTGTTGATGGGGTAATCCATTACGAAGTGATCTACTGGCAGGGAGTGTGGGGAGCCTTCCCTCCAGGTAGAATACAATGATTACTGCTGATGGCTATAGCTGTTCAATGATTGGGTGACAAAAAAACCCGACAGGCTGGATCTAATGAAGTCACTCCATGGATCAACTTCAGTACAACTAACCTGCCCATAGATGGATCAAAATTGTCTGGTTCCTGATAAACTGGCCAAATTTCAATCCATCTATGGCCAGCCTTAGAAAGC